CAACACCTCCAACTAGCTACTGTTCTTACGACTCTTGAAATACGTTGTATTCATTAACCCACTCAAGTGTGAATTTGGCGCATCTTCCCTCATCTTCTTCAACCAGGAAATGGACTTCATTGTAGCCTGTCATGTAGGACAGGATTGGTGACATAAAATCGATAAAAGAATATCATAATCAGATTCTCTGACCCCGAAAACCCCACAAATACATAAAATGTTATCATTCTAGCCCTTTTCCTTTTGGAACTACTATTGACCTATAACTATCAGACGGCGGCCATTTTGGATTTGACCAATATGACCAGTATGGCAGCCCCAAGGAGATCTCAAATCGATGAAAGAACATGATAATCAGCTTCTTTGACTCTAAAACCCCCAAAAATATTTAAACTTTTATCATACTAGCCCATTTCCTTTCGTAACTACACTTGACTTGTAACTATCAGATGACGGCCATTTTGGATTTGACCAATATGACCAGTATGGCAGCCCCAAGGAGACCTCAGATCAATGAAAGAACATCATAATCAGATTCTCTGACCCCGAAAACCCCATAAATATATAAACTGTTATCATTCTAGCCCTTTTCCTTTTAGAACTACTATTGACCTTTAACTATCAGACGGCGGCCATTTTGGATTTGACCAATATGACCAGTATGGCAGCCCCGAGGAGATCTCAAATCGATGAAAGAACATCATAATCAGATTCTCTGACCCCGAAAACCCCATAAATATATAAAATGTTATCATACTAGCCCATTTCCTGTCGTAACTACACTTGACTTGTAACTATGAGATGGCGGCCATTTTGGATTTGACCAATATGACCAGTATGGCAGCCCCGAGGAGATCTCAAATCGATGAAAGAACATCATAATCAGATTCTCTGACCTCGAAAACCCCATAAATATATAAACTTTTAACATACTAGCCCATTTCCTTCCATAACTGCACTTGACCTGTAACTCAGATGGCGGCCATTTTGGATTTGACCAATATGACCAGTATGAAAGCCCCAAGGAGACCTCAAATCGATGAAATAACATCATAATCATATTCTCTGACCCCCCAAACCCCATAAATATATACATTTTTTTAAATCATATTAGTCCTTTTTCTTTTGGGTCAACGCTTGACCTTTAACTTAGATGGCGGCCATTTTGGATTTGACAAATATAGCGGTCACAGAGGGCGCCCTTCTTGGCGCCCGGCAGAAATCGTAATAGTATGGTATAAGCTACCTCTGGGCCAAATTTGGTGCTTTTAGAAGAATCTGCACCAAAATATCCCTAACAGCCCTGACTATATTGAAAAATGGTTAAAAACACTCGTTAATTTAAGATAAGATTTTCCCAGCGTGTAGGGCCGATTTGAAGACACTGTTAACGACAAATTGGCCCAGCTAGCCGTGACCTGAGTGTTTAGTATTAGCCGAAGTAATTACCCCAATCGCCTACTGGACGTCATCATCGGAGCCGTCCAATTTGTACCATTTCGTTTTCGTTCATGGGGGATGCCAAGATTCAATGTTAAATGTCTGATTGTGGTCATGATTGTGTTTTAGGGAAAAGATATGACACTTTTCACTTTATTTAAACATGAGCTTTCATTATTTTGACATAGAATGAACCATGTCTATTTCAATATTTGAAACGATGTCTACTTTAAAGCCACACTGTCCTACTTGCAGTGGCGGATCCAGGGGGGGGGGGGTGTCTCGGAAAAAACGTGTTTTTCCCCCAGACACGATTTTCAAATTTTCGGAAGGTGCACAAAAAAAAATTGGTGCTCACTACCCCCCCCCCCCCCACACCTTTTTATTTTTTTGGCCTGCGAATGGGACACATTTAAGCAGTTTTTTTTTGTACCAAGTAGGCTTAAAGAGAGAATAAAATATGGATTTCATAATTGTCATCCTTGCAGTGTTATCACGATCATGACAATGTAGGGGTGTATTCCAATGTCTAAAAATGGTGTATGTTCACTTTGAGGTTTCCCTTCTTTCCAACCCGCTCAGTGTGTGTGTGTGTGTGTGTGGGGGGGGGGTTAAGGAACATTATTTTTTTCAATCGGCACACCCCCCCCCCTTGATCAAAAGCAAAATGAAGGGGGAGGGTTTGAACCCCCAAAACACCGCCCCCACCCCCCCCCCCCCCCCCTGCGTACGCACCTGATTGACAGTAAGGCAGTGAAAAAATGAAAAGGTGTGATATCACTCAATATCAACAGTAAAGTAATAACACTCAAGGGAATACTTATGACAAGCAAAATTATGATATCTTTGTTATGATGATCAGTGGCGTAGATCTGTTGTTGACATTGATGGGGGGGGGGGGGGGGGGTGATCTGTGGCGCGTTAGCACAAATTGAACGCTCGCGTGCACAAGGGGTGGTATTTGAGGGGCATGCGGCCCCCTCAGAAGCAGAATTTTAGGAGTTTTGAGACTGTATTCGTGCAATTTGGTTAAATACTTTTAGGCGACATTTAGATATACTCTCTTTAGATCAATACAGTATGTTTAGTCACCGTGTATGAAAGGCCATGTATTTCTTTTTAAAAACAATATAACTTTGCTATATATAATGTTAAAGTTGCATTGCCAAATGTGCGTAACACAAGAAAATTTGTTGTTATCCCATCAATGATAACTTTTTTTCAACGATACTTTGTTCAAATATGAAAGTTACATTTGGTATGACAAGTTCGGATTGTACTTTAGCAAAGAATCCACAGAAATATTATAAATTTGCTTATTCAAAATGTTAAATAGGGAAATGCCGATTTCAGCCTCATTCCGGTGGGGATGGTGATTACAATCTTGGCTTTCTTCGCATCTCTTGTTTAAGGTAACCCTTCTCATTAAGTGATGTAAAGAGGTTAAAGTTTGCTACACACTCAATTCTTTGCTCGTTCGCAAATGAATTTTTCGACAATAATCCACAACTGAAAACGATGGTGCTGAAGCAGTATCTTCGACCGCATCCCTGATAATATTATTACACTGTAGGGGCGTATACCAATGTCTTGGAATGTGAAAGACGCTCTTCTGGCCCCTAATAAAACTGGAACCTCAACAGACATACCTAGATGCTTATAATAGTTTTTATGTTGTTCAATTACAAATATGTGTTGTTTATAGAATTCATGTTTGTTTTTTTATGTGTTACCAATTATTTACCATTCTAATGCCCATGATGGTCACATCCACCACCAACTTTATGGAAAGATGAGGGTACTAGATAACATAAACTGTATATAAAATTATGTATACATATATAGTTATATGTATTTTATTTTACGTTGTTAGTGTTGTTTTTCTTTCCTTACTATAACTTCCAATGACTAAAACTTTGATTATAATCAAACAGGCAGCTAAAATTGCTTATCATTTGTTTTATGCTGTTGAAAACAAGTTATAGTAGTTTATTAAAATTCCAATATCTCTTGATTTGTTACCTTGGTATTGGCCCAGCGGTCACGTACATCAATTACTTTACGTTTAACAGACAAATAATGATACCTGACATGGGCGTCAATCCTTACGTAATACCTATTGTTCAGAGGGGGGGGGGGGATGATCTATTCATTCATTCCCCCTAAACAATAGGTATTGCATAAGGATTGACGTCCATGATACCTGAGGATCCCAGCAAAAGGAAAATCGGCATTTACAATTGTGCAAAAATGTATTCAAAAAATTTACTCGATCGTTTCAAGGTTTTTCTTTTTTTACTTGGAAATGTATTAAAAATATAGTAGGTGATAAATCGAAACCCCATAATGTCTTGCCAAAAAGAAATATGTATCTTGAAAATATAAAGCTGTCAAAAAGCAGGATACAGCAAGCTAGTTTAACTCTCATTTTGTAAACATAAATAACAAGTTTAATATCAAAATCATTATTAAATCCATTGCCCCCATTCAATTATATCTTCCTAGTTTCGCCTCTTCCCTTTCTTCTCTTTCTCATTCTCAAATCTGTCTTTACTTCTCTTTATTAATTTCACCTCTCCCCTTTTTTTTCTCGTTTTCTTTCTCATTGTCATCTCTATCTTTTCTTAATTCTCTCCTCTCCCCTTTGTTCTATTTCTCATTCTCGTCGCTCCCCTTTCTTTTCTTTTTCATTGCTACCTCTCATTTAAGTTTCTTCTCTTTCTCATTCTTTTCTCACCTCTTCCTTTTCTTCTCTTTTTCATTCTTACCCTTTCCTTTCTGATCTTTCTCATTCTCACTTCTCCCCTTTCTTTTATTTCTCCTCGCGCATCTTTCCGTTCTTCTCTTTTTCATTATCACCTCTCCACTTTCTAATCTTTCCCATTCTCTTTTCACCTTTTTCCCTTTCATCTATTTCTCATTATCATCTCTTCTCTTGGTTACTATTCTCACCTCTTCTTTTTTTTTTAAACTCTTTTTCTTTCTCATTCGCAATTTTTTCTTTTCTTCTCTTTCTCCTTTTTTTCTCCTCCTCACCTCTCCCTTTCTTCTATTACTCATTTTCACTACTTACCTTCTTTTCTTTCTCACTCACATCTCTTCTCTTTCTTTTCATTCTCATTTTCACATCCCCCTTTTTTAATTTTGAAGTTGCCTTACATTACAAGTATCGAAGCATAGAATTAAGCTCGCTCTCATGTGCCGACGGCTGTAAATCATCTATGGAGGCTTTCACGTTTGCTCCGAATCTTAAATATGAGTCTCTGATTGGTCAATGTCGGTTAGTGTATTCCGTTCATTTTCAATCGAACTTCGCTAAAATTCCCGTTATAATTATTGTATCAAATTGTGATGAAGTGCCATTTGTAGAAGTGGCAACAATTAAAAATGTAATTTCGTATTTTTATTTTTATTTTTATTTAAAGATCAATAAATCTTTCTCCAGTAAAATTGCAACGAAACTCAAAAACAAAACATTGTTGGTTGCTCCGCCCACAAGCTAATAGTCTTATTCCATGTTCCCAATAATGTGTGATATGCTTAATTTGCTCTGTCATTAGGTTTGAGAAGACAATGGAAGGAGTGAGTGATGAACTCATATTCGAGATGGCGGAGACGATTGGAGATAATCAAAAATTACCGAAGCTAGCTTCGAAACTTGGTTTTAAAGATGCGGGTGCTGAAAAATTTGTGAAGATGAACCGGATGAATGGCATAGTATCTTCCGAAGGAACAAGAAAGATGTTTTGCGAATGGAGGGAAGACACACCTGTGACTGAACAACTCACCACATTAGAGGCAGCCCTCGTAGACGCAGATCTTGCTGGGATAGCTGACAAATTTTCAAGTAAGGTTTATACATTTTTGTTTTCTCTCTCACCAGAACGTTTAGCAATATAAATTACCAATCCCTGACTTGTGTTTGATACATTCGTCCTATTTTAGAGTATTGCGCACCTGTTTTTAATGGAGCACATACATAATTCAGAAAGAATCTAGAAAAGAGTAAATGAAATTATTTTAGGTGAAAAATATATAAATTATAAAGACGACATAAAACGATGCCAACTTGAACGATTACAAATAAGGCGAGAAAAAAAAAATATTGTTTTTGCTGTATCTCTACTTACCCACAATGTAAAGGCATAGAAACGAAGATTTGTTGGCATGTCATTACGAAATAAACAAAAGTATACTAGTCAATATAAATGCAGGACCTCTCGTTTTAAACAAAGTGCAAAGTACAATATTTTATTGATTTTCTTAATAATCGTTGACTGTTCTCAGCTTTTCTTTACTCTACGCGGCGTGGGCTAGGGTAGGGGGCAGCCTTCACAAATACCAAACAAAATGCAATAAATTATCAATGATTTATTGCATTTTCCCAAGATCACCGACAGAAAAAAAATATCCTCTGTAGGGCCATGCATTATGGTTCAAGGCATGGCCACACAGAGGAAGTTTTCCTGTTGAAGACCGGGGAAAATGCAATGAATTATTGATAATTTATTGCATTTTCTTTTTACTTTTTTTGTATTTAAGGACGTACGTCCCCTTAGTTGATAAGCATATTAGCACACACATGCTTTAGTAGTTACGCCAAACAAACACTCGCAAATTATTATTCAATAAAATCTGAGAATTTATACTATTATCTAGATCTATTAGGAATAAATAATTTTCATAAATTGGGGTAAAAAAAATGTATTCAACCTTTATAATAATAATAATAATAATAATAATAATAATAATAATAATAATAATAATAATAGCTAGTTCTTATATAGCGCTTTTCAGGACCAAAGGCCCTCTCAAAGCGCTTTACAGATGACTAACAGTGTAGAACGGGAGGAGTATTTGGCCCTGGAACCGCAACTGATGAATCGGTTCTTCCAGTCAATAACAGTGATTTCAATTCTTAATTTTTTTCATTGAATGATGCCCTTCTATATATGGCCTAATCATGAGTTCTTTTTTTTCAACTAAAATACGCATCAATATAGGCATGGTAGAAGGAAAAGCAAGGAACGAACCTAGTTTCCCCATGGAGATTTCAAGCTGGCCAGTCAGTGATGAATTTCCAGAAGGTATTGCAAACACAATGCTTAAATTATAGTCCAGTCAAAATGACCATTTACCATAATGAAATGATACAAAAACTAATATGAGAAGAATGTTAAGAAAACAAAAACGAAAACAAAGAAACATGGTAAAATAGCGAAAAATTGAACCAGCTACACTAGTTAAGAAGGAAGAAGACAAGATTTGTATTTACGTCTATCTTCACATGGATGATAATGATGTGTGCATGATTGATTTATTTTACTTTCATAGATATGTAGTGCAGTTTTTTCATTTGATGGGTGTATGTGGTCAATAATGAATATAAGTAAGAAACATGTGATTTACTAGTAAATTCACGAAAATGAGAAAAAAATATAAGGAAATGGTTCATTAATACACAAAACTAAAAAAGAATAGTAGCACCATACATGCAAATTATGAAATAAAAACTTATTTTCTCACGCATACGTTCTTAGTTCAGTCTATTGTAAGGAATTTCACATGATATTTGAAAGTGAGGTGGCATTCTTATTTCCTTTCTCATTTATTAATTTATTTCAATTGATTACTGCTTAGAGAAATTGTAAATGCGCAGAATAATAATATAAGTATTCGCGATTTTTCGATAATGTATTTCACTTTTAAACTATGATATGATTATTATTCACGAATTTAAAAAAAGAAGTATATTTTCACGGTACATCTTTATTGATTTAGGTCTAATTTCTGCTTCCTCAAACTTTTGTTCACTACCCTTAAGTTGTCCAATCATGAGTATTGAATATGCTGATTAAATGTTGGTTATTTGTCAGATTAAAAGAAAAGTGAATTCAGTTATTTAGTGGACACCTAACACAAATTATTCGTTCTAGAATGTATGGAAACAGTTAAGTGATGAGTTGATACAGAAATACAACAAACGGTACCATATATTAATTATACATTTTAATCATCTTAAGTTTTTCAATTTCCATATACAACTTTGATCTACTCGAGGATTATTATATGTTTCTGATTTACTTATCCTCCTTTAAAGAACTGATTTTGCAGTGATTCAGTATGAAATAATAATAGTGCAATATAATTAAAACAAATGTTTGCCAAACCAATGTAAACATGAATAACAAAAAAAGAAGGACCTGAAATCTCGATATAAATACCAAAATTATTAGCCAAAGCTTCCCTCCCCTTCTCCACGACGAGAAGAGCATGATTTATACATGTAGTCTACACTAATTTGTAAATCTTTCTTCTTTTTTTCTGCCTATGATCTTCGTTTACAGTGTGTAAGTATGGATCTTATTTAAAGTTTTTTTTCTTCTGATGATCTATCTGAAATATCTATTTTGATCAATCATTTTTCATTTCTTTTTCTGAATCTTTCCACTAGGGATTCTTTCATTAATATGTTTAAACTTTATGCAATGTGAGGATTGGCTTATACTGAAATGGATATTAGCTTATATTGCTCATATTTTGACAAAAGCCTAGTTACTTTTGGTATATTCAATTTTACTTCTTCTAATAACAAAATTATTTATTTATTTCAATCAGTCATTTTATTTCAATAACGATTTAAGTGAGTTGTTTCATACCATGGGTGTATGTGGACATTTGTTTATAATGTAAAACATAACTACTAGCAAAGATAAACAATATTAATAAGTACAAATTAACTTTGACCGTTTGAGAAAGAAAAGAAGCACCTACAAAATTCAAACAAAGAAATAGAAATGGTATGTTATTCGTATATTTTCTTATTTACAAATGTGTACTTCAAATTAATTAAAGATTGCTGAAATAAGTTTTTATATTATGTTTCATTTCTCTCTTTTTTAAGAGCTTTTTGATAATGTATTTCGCTGTTAAGATGTAGTATGATTATTATTCACGACTTTCAAAGAAGAAGTGTATTTTCACGGTATATCTTTATTGATTTAGGTCTAATTTCTGCTTCCTTCAATCTTTGTTCACTACCTTATATTTTGCCCTATCATGGATAATGAATACGCTGATTAAATGTTTGTTACTTTTCGGATTAAAAGAAAAAGTGAATTCAGTTATTTGGTGGACACCTTTACACAAATTAATCGTTCTAGAATGTATGGAAACAGTTAAATGATGAGTTGACATATATTAGTAATATATCATATATTAATAATACATTTTAATCATCATCAGTTTATATTATATGTTTCTGATTTACCTCCTTTAAAGTTCTGGTGTTGCAGTACTTTGGTTTGAAATAATAATAGAGCAATATAATTAAAACAAGTATTTGCTAAGCCAATGTAAACATGAATACCAAAAAATGAAGGACCTTAAATCTCGATATGAATACCAAAATGATTAGCCAAAGCTTCCCTTCCCTTCTCCACGACGAGAGGAGCATGATTTGTAGATGTAGTCTACACTAATTTGTAAATCTTTCTTCTTTTTTTCTTCCCATGATCTTCGTTTACAGGGGGTAAGTTTGGATCTTAATTCTAAGTTTTTTTCTTCTGATTATCTTTCTGAAATATCTATTTTGATCAATTATTTTTCATTTCTTTTTTCTGAATCTTTCCACTAGGCATACTTTCATTAATATGTTTAAACTTTATGCAATGTGCGGTTGTGTTATACGGAAATGGATATTAGCTTATATTGCTCTTATTTTGACAAAATCCTGGTTGCCTTTGGTATTTTCATAGTTTCTCCTTCTAATTACAGCATTATTTATTTATTTCATTTAGTCATTTTATTTCGATAACGATTTAATTGAGATGTTTCATGCAACGGTTGTATGTGGACAATTGTTTATAATGTAAAACATAATTACTAGCAAAGATAAACAATATAATAATAACAAATTAACTTTGACCGTTTGAGAAAGTAAAGAAGCACCTACAATTTTTTTTTTTAAATGGTTTGTTATTCGTATTTTTCTGATTTCCAAATGTGTATTTTAAAGTAATTGTAGATGGCTAAAACAAGTTTTTGAGGTTTCATTTCTCTTTTGTTCTAATTGTGTACTTTAAAGTAATTGTAGATTGCTGAAATAATTTTTTTTATGAGGTTTCATTTCTCTTTTTTCCATGAGCTTGTTGATAATGTATTTCACTGTTAAAATCTCATATCATTATTTTTTACGACTTTCAAAGAAGAAGTATATTTTCACGGCATATCTTTATTGATTTAGGTCTAATTTCTGCTTCCTCCGATCTTTGTTTGCTGTCCTTAATTTTGTCCAATCATGAATATTGAATATACTGATTAAATATTGGTAATTTTGTCAGATTAAAAGAAAAATTGAGTTCAGCTACTTGGTGTACACCTTACACAAATAAATCTTTCTAGAATGTATTGAAATATTTAAATGACGAGTTCATAGAGAAGGACAAAAATGTGTACCATAGACTGACACTACACTCTAACATCCGTCATCAAAGATCAATTTACAACAGTTTTATCTACTCGAGGATTATTATATGTTTATGATTCACTTATCCTCCTTTAAGGAACTGGTTTTGCAGTGCTTCGGTTTAAAATAATAATCGTGCAATATAATAAAAACAAGTGTTTGCTAAGCCGATGTAAACATGAAAAAAAAAACATCGAATGAAGGACCTGAAATCTCGATATAAATACCAAAATGATTAGCCAAAACTTTCGTCCACTTCTCCACAACAAGAGGAGCATGATTTATACATGTAGTCTATAATAATTTGTAGTTCTTTCTTTTTCTCTTCTGCCCATTATCTTCGTTTACAGTGCGTAAGTATGGATCTTCATCCTACAATATTTATTTTGTACATTCTTTTCCTTCTGATTATCTATCTGAAGTATTTATCTTGATCAATCATTTTTCAATTCTTTTTCTGAATCTTTCCACCAGGCATCCATTCATTGATTTAGTAATACTTTATGCAATGTGAGGATTGTGTTATACAGATTAGGCTAATACAGATTATGGATACTAGCTGATATTGCTCTTATTTTGACAAAATCCTGGTTGCTGTTTGAATTTTCATATGTTCTCCTTCTGATTACAGAATTATTTATTTATTTAATTAAGTCATTTTATTTCGATGACCATTTTTTTGAGATATTTAATGCAATGGGTGTATGTGGACATTTGTTTATTATGTAAAACCTAACTGCTAGTGAAGAAAATCAATATTAATACGTACAAATTAACTTTGACCGTATGAGAAAGAAACGAAGCACCTACAAATTACCAAAAAATAGAAATGTTATGTTATTCGTGTATTTTCTGATTTCCAAATGTGTACTTTAAAGTAATTGTAGATTGCTGAAGTAAGTTTTTTTTAATGAGGTTTCATTTCTCTTTTTTCCCCGAGCTTTTTTGATAATGTATTTCACTGTTAAAATATGATATGATTATTATTCACGAATTTCAAAGAAGAAGTATATTTTCAGGGTACATCTTTATTAATTTAGGTCTAATTTCTGCTACTTTCGATCTTCGTTCACTACCCTATATTTTGTCCAATCATGAATATTGACTATGCTGATTAGATATTGGTAATTTTGTCAGATTGAAAGAAAAGTGAATTCAGCTATTTAGTGGACACCTCGCACAAATTAATCGTTCTAAAATGTATGGAAACAGTTAAATGATGAGTTGATAGAGAAGTACACAAGATGGTACCATATATTAATAATACATTTTAATCATCAGTTTTACAATTTCCACATACAACTTTGATCTACTCGAGGATTATTATACGTTTCTGATTTACTTATCCTCCTTTACAGAACTGGTGTTGCTGAGCTTCTGTTTAAAATAATAATTTTGCAAAATAATTAAAACAAGTATTTGCTAAGCCAATGTAAACATGAATAAAAGAAAAATGAAGGACCTGAAATCTCGATATGAATACCAAAACGATTAGCCAAAACTTTCCTTCCCTTCTGCATGACGAGAGGAGCATGATTTATACATGTACTCTATAATAATGTGTAGTTCTTTGTTTTGTTTTCTTCCCATGATATTCATTCACAGTGAGTAAGTATGGATCTTAATCCTAAGTTTTTTCTTCTGATGATCTATCTGAAATATCTATTTTGATCCATCATTATTCATTTCTTTTTCTGAATTTTTCCACTAGGCATCCATTCATTGATATATTAAACTTTATGCAATGTGAGGATTGGGTTATACTGAAATGGTTAATAGCTTTAATATATCGCTCATATTTTTGACAAAATCCTGGTTGCTTTCGGTATTTTCAATTTTACTTCCTTTAATAACAAAATTATTTATTTATTTCAATCAGTCATTTTATTTCAATAACGATTTAAGTGAGTTGTTTCATACCATGGGTGTATGTGGACATTTGTTTATTATGTAAAACATAACTACTAGTACAGATAAACAATATTAATAAGTACAAATTAACTTTGACCGTTGGAGAAGGAAAAGAAGCACCTACAAGTTACCAAAAAATAGAAATGGTATGTTTTTCGTTTATTTTCTGATTTCAAAATGTGTACTTTAGAGTAATTGTAGATGGCTTAAATAGGTTTTTATATGAGGTTTCATTTCTCTTTTTTCTAAGAGCTTTTTGATAATGTATTTCGCTGTTAAGATGTAATATGATTATTATTCACGACTTTCAAAGAAGAAGTGTATTTTCATGGTATATCTTTATTGATTTGGGTCTAATTTCTGCTTCCTTTAATCTTTGTTTACTACCTTATATTTTGCCCAACCATGGATATTGAATATGCTGATTAAATGTTGGTTATTTTTCGGATTAAAAGTAAAAAGTGAATTCAGTTATTTAGTGGACACCTTTACACAAATTACCCGTTCTAGAATGTATGGAAACAGTTAATTGATGAGTTGACAGAGAATTACAAAAAATGGTCCCATATATTAATAATACATTTTAATCATCATCAGTTTATATTATATGTTTCTGATTTACTTAACCTCCTTTAAAGTTCTGGTGTTGCAGTGCTTTGGTTTGAAATAAAAATAGAGCAATATAATTAAAACAAGTATTTGCTAAGCCAATGTAAACATGAATACCAAAAAATGAAGCACCTTAAATCTCGATATGAATACCAAAATGATTAGCCAAAGCTTCCCTTCCCTTCTCCACGACGAGAGGATCATGATTTATAGATGTAGTCTACACTAATTTGTAAATCTTTCTTCTTTTTTTCTTCCCATGATCTTCGTTTACAGGTTGTAAGTATGGATCTTAATTCTAAGTTTTTTTCTTCTGATTATCTTTCTGAAATATCTATTCTGATCAATTATTTTTCATTTCTTTTTCTGAATCTTTCAACTAGGCATCCGTTCATTAATATGTTTAAACTTAATGCAATGTGAGGATTGGCTTATACTGAAATTGATATTAGCTTATATTGCTCTTATTTTGACAAAATCCTGGTTACTTTTGGTATATTCAATTTTACTTCTAATAACAAAATTATTTATTTATTTATTTCAATCAGTCATTTTATTTCAATAACGATTTAAGTGAGTTGTTTCATACCATGGGTGTATGTGGAAATTTGTCTATAATGTAAAACGTAACTACAGGCAAAGATAAACAATATTAATACATACAAATTAACTTTGACCGTTTGAGAAAGAAAAGAAGCACCTACAAAATTCAAACAAAGAAATAGAAATTGTATGTTATTCGTATATTTTCTTATTTACAAATGTATACTTTAAATTAATTAAAGATTGCTGAAATAAGTTTTTATATGATGTTTATATCTCTTTTTTCTAAGAGCTTTTTGATGATGTATTTCGCTGTTAAAATTGTATATGATTATTATTCCCGAATTTCAAAGAAGAAGTGTATTTTCATGGTACATCTTTATAAACTTAGGTCTAATTTCTGTTTCCTCTAATCTTTGTTCATTGTCCTTAATTTTGTCCAATCATGAATATTGAATATCTGATTAAATGTTCGTAAATTTGTCAGATTGAAAGAAAAAAGTGAGTTCAGTTACTTAGTCGACACCTTCCACAAATTACCCGTTCTAGAATGTATGGAAACAGTTAAATGATGAGTTGATAGAGAAGTACAAAAAATGGTACCATATATTAATAATTCATTTTAATCATCATCAGTTTTAAAATTTCCATATACAACTTTGATCTACTCGAGGATTATTATATGTTTCTGATTTACTTATCCTCCTTTAAAAAAACTGGTGTTGCAGAGCTTCTGTTTAAAATAATAATTTCGCAAAATAATTAAAACAAGTATTTGCTAAGCCAATGTAAACATGAATAAAATAAAAATGAAGGTCCTGAAATCTCAATTTAAATACCAAAATGATTAGCCAAAACTTTCCTTCCCTTCTGCATGACGAGAAGAGCATGATTTATACATGTAGTCTATAATAATTTGTAGTTCTTTCTTTTGTTTTTCTTCCCATGATATTCATTCACAGCGGGTAAGTATGGATCTTAATCCTAAGTTTTCTTCTTCTTATGACCTATGTGAAAT